TTCTGTTTTAAATCTTATTTAAGTATTTTCAGGTTAAGAATAAGAATAATTATTATAATTTTAATATACACTATTACGAGAATAATTTAATTATTAAGTATGATTTTCATATTAATAATTATTATTTTCATTAGTTTTAATATCTTTATTATAATCATTGTTTATATTTGTTTTTTTTAAAATAATATCATTATTTTTATTTTCAAAAAGATTATTATTAGTATTATTTACTAATCCTTGATTATTATTTTTATATTCAAAATTATAATTATTAGTTTTAATTTCAAAATTTTAATTGTAATCACTTTAGTTTTAAATATTATAATTATTTTTAGTTTTATTTTCAAAATTAAGTACACCAATATTATTTTCTAAATAATTTTTTTTAATTCTATTTTCAGAATTATAATTATTTTAAGATTATTCTGTTTAGATTAAATTTTCATATTAAAATTTATTTTCATTTAAAAAATCTTTTTAAAAAATATCACTTTGATTATCCAAATAATTATATTATTTTTCTTATAAAATATCAATGTTATTATTTTAAGTATTATTAATATCAATATCATAAGGTTAAGTATATTTTTAAGCTTTGTAATTATTATTAAAGCTAATATTATCTTAACTAATATATTTTTTCATTATATCTTCAATTTAATTATTAATATAGGGATTTAATTTTAAATTACTATTTAAATTATTAAAAGAATTAAATTAAGTTTTATCCAGTGTTGTTTATCTTCTCAAATTATTTTAAAAATCTTCATTATAATCAGGCATAGTTTGCATTTTTTAATTTCTTTTGACTTAATCTTACTCTTCCCTATTCTTGAATTTAAAAGAACTTTAAAACTAATTATTATTTTCATCTAAATTACTATAAGAACCAACTTTCCTTTCCAAATAATTTTAACTTTTCCCGTCTTATTAATACTTTTCAAAAGTTAATTACGGACTTTAAAAATTATTAATTGAATATTTTTATTATTATTATTAAAATGGTTAAATCACATAAGGCGAACAAAATAACTATTACTATGAATTATTTTATATTTAATATTATTTAAATTACTAAATAGGAGTATTACTACTTTATTAAAATACATTATATTATTAATACTTTTAATCTCCTTAATAAGAAATGGGAATTTATTATTAATAGTCATAATCAGTTTTATTATTATTTGTCTAAGTATTTAAATTAGATATAGGATTACTATATATATCATTATCATTATTATTAGTATATATATTCTAATTATTATTATTATTTTATTTTGGTAAAAATTGTTTATAATCCGTACAGTCTATTTATTTAACATTCCAGAAACTATTATTGGTTTAATTAAGCATACTAATTTCATTTGCTTATATTTAATATTCTATAACGCCTTCCTTTTATTTTAAAAACTTAGCAATTTTATCCAAATAGACAAAAAGATTATAAGAACTTTAAGAATTATCAACTAATCTCTGAGCATTTTTTTATATTTTTTCAATTATTTTTCTTGTAACTTCCTAATCTTAATTTTTCAATACATCTCCTAAATTTTCTACTATTTCAATTAAAAGTTGCCTAGTGACAGGAAGTTAAGAATTTTATAAGGCAAACTCTATCGTAGTCTTAATTTTAATGATTTAATTATCAATATCGAAAAGTGTTTTTGATGATAAATTTAAAGCTTTTTCATAATTTTGATTTTCCATCAAATTTTTTATATTTTCACTTGCTTTTTAAGTACTCATACTTACATTATTTATTTAAAGTATATAATTTTCTAAATTATTATTATAATCTATTTTTTCAGAAACTTTATTTTAATTATTTTAACAGGAATTAAAATTTTTCTCTTTTTAACCACTAGGTCTATATTCGTGAATATTTTCTTCAATTTTATATCTTTATTAATTATTGTTATAATTATATTCTCTGGTTGATTAGATTATTTATTTTAAATTAGCATTATTCTATTAAGGAGTTTCAGGCTTTATATTATTTATTTACATAGAGTCGTTTACCAGTTTTTGGTAGCAGTTTTCTTTATTTGTTTAAATATTTTATTATTACTTATATTATGACAGTTATTAATTATTAGAATGCTTATTTATCTTTATTTAAGGGCTGTTGAATTATTAAAATTAATTTATTCTTAATTTTACCTTTTTTTATAATGGATTTTAAGGTAATTAGCTGTTTAGGAAATTCATTATATTAAAATTATTTTATTATTGTTTAAATTATTATTAGTTCATCTTTTTATTTAAAAAAAAAAAAAAAAAATTTTAGAATTATATATATATATATATATATATATATGTATTGTTTTTTAAATTTTTTTTTTTCTTTTTAATATTTTAATTTATTTCTTATTTTTTAAATTACATTTTTTTTGCTTTTTTATTTTATAATAATAAATTTAAAGTCTTATTATATAAAATTAAATTACATAATATTAATATCCTTATTTATTATTATTAAAAAAAAAAAGAAAAAAACTTAAACAAAATATTAATAAATTAAAAATAAAAAAAGCTTAACAAAATAAACAAATAAATAAAAATGTTTTAATTGGCATAATGGTTTATAGGAATTTTAATAATATTTTTAGCAGTTTATTTTACTTAATTTGCTACATCAAAAGCCAAAAAATTTATTAAAAAATCTAGAAAATTATCAGAAATAGCAGATGAACATGAAAAAACGCGCTAGCATTTAAAAGAACTTAAAGTAATTTATTAATACAAAATTATGTATAAAATATATATAATTTTTTTTTTAAAATTAATATAAAAAAAATAATTAAGTATCATTATTATTGGGCAAAATCAAGTGGAGAAAAACAAAAAGAATAGATTATGGAAAAAGCAATATTCCGATCAGAAGATAAATTAGAATAATTAGAGTAAGAATATTAAATTTTCAAATAAGGAGGAACAATACCTTTAACTTAAGTGCAAAAATAAAAATGAATAAAAATAATGTCGATAATAATAATACTTATATAAATATATTAAAATTTATATTTTTATTAATTTTTATTTTAAATATTGAGCTTCATTATTGATTATATAATTTGTGGATGTGGATATATTGAAAAATATAAATAGTTTTTATAAAATATACAAAAAAGGTTAAAAATAAATTATTGTTGTTTTAAATTATAAAAATAAAAAAAAAATTATATAAAAAAAATATAAAAAAATAATATATATATATATATATATATATATATATATATATATATATATATATATATATATATATATTTTAAAAATATATATAATTATTCTATATTATTTATTTTTATTTATTTAATTTATTGTATTTTATAATTTATTAAATAATCATTATATTGTCCTTTTTTATTATTAATAATATTTTTACAATTATATATTTTTTTTTTACAAAATTTAATAATATCATTATAATTTATTAGGTATTATGTATTTTTCAATATTTTTTATTTTCTTTTTTAATCTTTTTCTTTATTACTCTATTATTTAATTTATAAAATGATATAATTATTATCATTAAAATATGTCATATAAATATCCTTTTAAAAGTATTAAAAATATGTTTTTATTATAATAATCCTAATACTTACTAAAATGATATTATTTATATATTAATTAAACATTGAAAAATTGCACTAATAATTTATCAAAATACTTATATAACACATTAAAAATAATATATTAATTTTCTCTTAATTATAAATACAAAAAATAAATACTAATATAATAAACATATAAAAACTTAATTAAAACAAAAAATAATATATATAATTTGTCTCATTTAATGTTTCTCAAAATATAAAAATAAATAGTTCCATTCATTTTTCTTTCTTTTTTAAGAATTTCGAAATCTTAATTATTTATATACTAATCCCAATTTCTATTATTAAAATATCCTTAATTTAAAACACTGTAAGCCATAAAATAATCTAAGATCATATTATATGCTTAATAATAGCTCTATCCCTAAGCCAAAATTAGAATTAACCCATTTTATTTACAAACTCTTTTCATTTCTTATAATGCCTTTTCGGGTTCACAATAACACTAAAGCCCAAAAGTATCAACTACACTATCAAAGCTATTATCTTAAAAGCTTAATTTCTCGCTATCATCAATTTTATATTCAAAATTAATATCGTGTCCTTATATACTTTTTTATAAAGCGATTTCGAGCATATTTGAACTCCAATCAATTCCTACTAAATCTACATCTTTGGGATAAAAATCTATATTCCTTGATGTCCCGACTGCTAACTCTAATACTTTACCATGTGCATATGATATTAAAGTTTTTCGATATTTATTTATTTTTGTAAGATCTTCATATGAAGATACCTATTTTTCATAATTATGGGCATTGTTTTAATGGACTTTAAATAAAAGAGGGCGTTTTTTATCGGCATTTTTATTATATTCTTCTTCGAATTTTATTAATGAATGATATTTAAATGATGCATATGTTGAAGCACTAAAAAGTACTTTTTTTTATATATTTAAAGTTTTAGATTTCTTTTTATAATAAAATATGTATATATCTAATACATAAGCCAGATATTCCGTATTTAAAATATTTTGACATAATTATTATTTATTGTTAATTTTTTTTAAAAAATATTTATATATATATAAATTTATATTAGTAAAAATATATATTTATTTAGAATTCTTTTAAGTTATCAATTTTTTAATCATATATTGAAAAAAAAAAAGAAAAGAAAAAATATATAATAAAATTTTCAAACTTTATTATTATATTTTTAATAAAACTCAAATTTAAGTTTAATATATTAACAAAAAAATATAATGAATAACAAAAATAAACCATTTTAACAAAAAATTAACAAAAGAAAATTGTCAAATTAAATAAAAATAAATAAACATCATTTTTAATTTTTATATTTTCTAAAAAAAACAAAAATAAAACTTACAATTTAACAGTGAAAATTAAAAAAGGTATGTATTTCTAGATAAAATAAAAATATAAAAATATGAAAAAATAATAAAATTTATTAATAATCCCTAATCTGATTTAACATTAATTCATATACAAAATCTTAAAAAATTAAATAATCCTCATCATAATTAACCAGGAGGTCTTAAGTTAGGTTATCCCATATTTGGTGGCATAGACATTCCTTATAAAGGAGGTGGTGGTTGTTACATCATTTACATAAAAGGTTAATTTGGTGGCATATTATTCATCATTGGAGGTCTATCTATATTTCCTTACATAGGAGGAATTTATACCATTCTTTATATTGGTTAAGCTTATCCAGGTCCTACAGTACTAGTATCTACTTTTCTACTCTATTAAAATAAATATATAAAAAGATAAAAAAAATTAACAATATTTACTTGCTAATTTGGAGGAGCTTCAGCATTTATTGAAATTATATTTTCGCCTCTTATTATAACTAATCCTAAAATTCTTTTAGTTTATCTTTCAGGATCACCTAAATTTTTAATAAAAATAATAATAATTAATATACATATAAATTTAGTTATATATTTAAACATTATAATGTTATTTTTTTAAAAAAAACCTTTTTTTTTGGGTTTTATTGGTCTGAACTCTTCAGTTTCACTAATAACTAAATTTAAATGTTTGTCAAATGCAAGAAATGTTCCGACCAACATTCTACCATCTAAAATAGTCACTCGAACCCTATAGTCTATCCATTGAATAAATTTACTTCTATTCGAAGACATTTTAATAAATTTTTAAAAAATATATATATTTAAAAAAAAGATTTATATGAAAAATAAAATATAAAATAGTATGAAGAAATAATAATTAATTGTGTCTAATATATAAATAATAATATTATAATAATATAATGAAATATATATATATATATATATATAATATATATATATAAATTTATTTAATTTTATATATATAATAATTTAATTTTTTTATTTTTAATTTATCTTATTCTTTATATATATTTATTTTATTTATCATATATTTATTAATATTTTGCATAATTTTTTTTATTCAAATTTAACTTTAGCTTCCATTATTACTAGTTTTATAATTAGACAAATTTTATGAAATATTTTGCGATATATTTTATGATATAATAGATTTGCTTTAATTTTATTTTTCTTAATAAAAGTTCATAAATCCAACTGTCCCACTTTAATTATTTTCCCTTGAATTATTTAATCCTAAATTATCTAAAATACTATTAGTTATTTAATTATTAAGATTTTCACTATTATTATCTTCGCCATTCTCATTACTGTTATTAACATAGCTATAATCATTAATACTACTTCTTTCTCTACTTCTACTACTGTTTCTCATAGGACTTTTCCTATCATTACCTATATTTTTACTCATATTTAATATATTAGATCCACCTTAATTAATTGATTATCTAATTATTTTTTTTTAAAAAGAAAAATCAATTATATTTAAAAAAAATACCTTCTTGATTGCCTTGTATCAGTTTTCAATCTTTCATTTTCTCTTAACAAAATTTCTTTCTTTTTTTCAAGTTTATTAAGATTTTCTAATATTTCATTTTTTTGATTTATTAAATGATCTTTTTCTAAATTCCATTTTGCCCTTTCTTTTTCATGTTCAAAAATTAAAAGATTTCTTTTTTTTTCAGCTTCTCTAAACTAAAATAATAAAAGGTAAAAAATATAAAAAAAATCAAAATAAAATTATTACTTTCTCCTCAATAGTATTTAATTTCTATTTATAAATATCTTTTTCACTATCAATTTTATTTTAAGCTTCATTTTTTTCATATTCTTTTTCTTTTCTTAAATTCTCGATTTCAAGCTAATATTTTTTTTCATTTTCCAACAACTCAGTAAGTCTTTTTTCAGTAAAAATAGCACTAGAATTTTTTTATCTACTTTCAAAAAGTGCTTATCCTACATTATTTTTTAACTCGGCTTCCAATTTAGTTATTTTAAGGTTTGCAGTCTACAATTTTTGATTATAGTTTTCATTTAATTCATTAAATTATGTTTAATATTTCCTTTCTATTTAATTAAGCATATCCGAAACTCCTTATTCCCTCTCGTTTTTTTCCGCCTATCTTTATTTTTATAAATGAGTAAGTGTTTATTCGAATTTTTTTTGGGCTTCCAAAAGATCAGATTTAGCCTATTCCTTTTATTAATTAAGGAATGAAAATTTCCCTTCCCAGAGTACTTTATCTCTTTCATAAGAAGTATTAAGTTCATGTTTTTCATTATCTAAAAGCACATTTTATGATTTTAATTTTTCTATTTCTTATATTAAACATCTTTTTTCTTAAGAAGTGAATTCTTTAGCCTTTAATAATTGGTCTTTTAGTTATTCAGTTTCTATTTGGTATTTTTCCTCATTTTCTTTTAGCCTTAATTCCAAAAATTATTGTTTTTCTAAATAAATGGCTTTTTCTTTTTCCAATTCAGCCAATATTTTTTAAGCATTAGATTCATTTTCTTTATTATATTTCTTAATACTAATAATTTTTTATTCAAGAATAATCTTTTCTTCATTCAAAGCTTATATTTTATCATTCGTTTCTTTCGTCCACTCATTTTTTTAAGCCTTAAGTCTTTCTTCATATCTTTAAGAAGATTACTCTATTGTTTTTTCTAATTCCTATAGTTTCTTATGATAAAATTCATTCTATTAACCTGATAAAGCCATAGTTTTTTCTGAATTAATCTTCGTTTATAAATACTCGTCTTATACCTATTAATATTTTTTATTTATTTCTTCCCATTTTTCCTCTAAAGATTATTTTTATTAAGTAAACTCTTCCTTTAATTATATTAATTCCTTCTTTTTATTTTCATAATTCTTTTCTGAATTTTCTAATTTTTAACTTAAATTTTAATTAGAACTTTCACTCATTTATAAAGTTCTTTATGTCTATTCATATTTTAATTATAAATCTTTCCTTTCAGTAATATATTAATTTGTTAGTTATTCAACTTATTATTAATATGTTTATTATAATTATTATAATTAGTATTTAGTCTCATTTAAACTCTTTTCTAAATTTTCAATACTTTTCTATTTTATTTCTAATTCATGTTCATATTATCCTTACATATTAATAACTTAAATTTCATATTCTTTAATATCTTCCTAAATAAATAAATAATAAATAATAATAATATTATTATCAAATTTATATTTATTTAATACACGAAGTGTATCTATTTCTTCTTCTAATTATGCTTTTTCATCAATCAATTTTTGTTCATATTCTTCAACTGACGAATTGTAAGCTTTTTCTCTTTTGTCTCTAAAATATAAATAATAAAATAATTAAATATTAAATTTTAATAAATTAATTATACTTTTCATCAAGTAATCTCTTCTCTAAAGTTTCTCTTTCAATTTCAAACATATTTTTTAGTTAATAAAGTGTTTCTTCATACTTATATTAATTTTCCCTTAGTTCATTTTAAGACCTATCTTTAATATTTTCTATATTTTCTTCCAATTACTTAATTTTCTAAACGAATTTTTTTTCCATATCTTTCGAATTTAAATTAAGCATACCTTCAGTTTCCTTAAGTTTTTATTCTATAATGTTTTTTTAATTTCTACTCTCATTTAATTATTAACTTAAATCTTAAATTTTAATTTCACTTTCATGTATATACAATTTTTATTTCATATCACTTTCCTAAACTTCCTTTTATAAATTTTCAATTTAATTTTCTAAAGTCTTTTTAATATTTGCACTTTCAATTTCCAATTATTTCATCTACTACAAATGACTTTCCTTTAATTATAAATATTATTTATTTTAAACAGTATCATTATTATTATAAGAATTTAATTCCAAAGCTGATAAAGTAGATTCATGTGCTTTTTTTACTTCAACTAATTATTTTTTTAAATCTTCTACTTCTGATTCAATAAATCCTTTCTCTTATTATAAAAGAGCTTATTTTTATTTAAGTTCGGACTTCTCCTATTTATTTTTTTCAATAAATTATTATAATTCAGTATTTAGTTTTAAATTTTGGCTTTTTAATTATTCCACTTAATCATTATATTAATCTTTTAAATCATCTAAATTTTTTAAACCATTATTAGAAAGTTCAGTGACTTATTTTTTCGACTACATGATTTCAGTTTACATATCTTAAATATTCTTTTGATAATTTTTTTCTTTAAATAAAAAGTTCTCTTATTATTAGGCCTATTGATTTTATATATTTATTAATTTCTCATTTAAATCATTATTCTATTCTTTGATTATATTAAGTTTATTTTCCAATTATTTGATTGTCTTTTCATATTAAATCTATTATTCTTTATCTTACTATTGAAATCATTTAATAGCTCTACATATAGTTCTCATTATTCTTATCTTTTAATTATATTCATTACAAAGTTACTCAAAATGACCTGCCTTATGTTCCAAAAGTGCTTTTTTTTTTAAAATTAACTTTCTTTTAATAAAAGTTGTCTTTCGCTTTTATTTAATTGTTCATCAACTTATTTAAGTTTATTTTTTAAAGACTCTATTTTTTCGGAATATTCTAATTTATCCGCTTGTATTTATTCTTTTAATTCTTTTTCCATTTTAAGTCTTTCTTCTTCTGATTCACTTAATGATTTTAAATTTTTTTATTAATTATTTAAAATTTCTTCTTTTTCATTTTATAATTTATTAATTTTATTTTAAAATTGGATTTTTTCATCTTCTTGTCTTTTTTTTGTTCCTAAATTTCATTCTCGAATTTCTTCTAAATTTCATTTCTGCAATTCTATTTTTTTTGTAATTTTTAAAATAAAACAAAAAAATATTTAATTAAATTTTTACTTTTTAAATCTCGATTTCAGACTCTTAATTTTTAATGAAATAAAAAGCTCCATCATTAGTCATTTTTTAAAGAAAATCTAAAAAAACAACAAATCTATTTACTGTATTAGGACCATGTTCTATCAAAAACTAATAAAAAAACTTCAAATCTTTCTCGTATTCTTAAAAATTTTCATATTAATTAGATTTTAATTTTCTATCTATTGGGGCGAATTCTCTTTAAATAAAAATCTAGCATTAATTTGTTGATTCTTTTTCGTTTATTTGTTTAACTTATTAAATTCGGTTTTTTATTTTTTTAACTAATTCCTCTTAATATTATATAATAACATCCCCGACTGCTTTTTTTTTGAATTATTCTATAGCTTATTCTTTTACTTATTTATGCAAAAACTTTAAAATATTAATATTTTAAAAAATATATATATATATATAAATGGAAATAAAAAAAAAATATAAAAAATATTAATTTAGATTTATTATTTAATATAATAATAATAAAATTAAACAAAAAAAAATGAATTTTTAAAAGCTAATATTAAATATAAAAAATAATAAATAAATATTTATTAATTTAGGTATTTATTAATATAAATATTTATTTATTATTATAATATTTTTATATTTATTTAATTTTTATAAATTCATTTAATTATATAAATATATAGATTAATTTTATTTTACTCTTTTTATTAATATATATATAGTGTAATTATTATTATATATTAAAAACAAATTTAAATATATAGTAAAGATATATATTTATAATTAAATATAATATTTTTTCTTCTTTTTATTAATTAAATTTTAAAAAAATAACTAGAGAATAAAATATTAATATAATTATATATTGTTTATTTTATATTATATATTATAATATATATAAAAAAAAAATACTTTTAAATCTTCTAAAGTAGTTGGAATTTTTACAAAAAGCTATTCTTTTAGTAGTTTTTCATAAAATTCAAAAGATTTCTATAGTGCTTTTTAACATTCATCTTAGCAAACATAAGTCCATGCATTCTAAATATTTGGAACTGCCCCATTATTAATTGCCTATACATAAGAATTACATAAACTCATTAACATTTCCCCACTTAAAGGTTTTCCATTTAATTATTTTGGTTTAATTCTTTATAGAATTCTTTTCCTTAAACAAATTACTTATTCGAAAAATTCAGGACGTAATTAATCTAAGTCCATTTTATCTAATTTTTATAAATTCTATTCATTTAATAAAGGACGTACTAATGTAAAACATTCTCTTTATTAAAAAAATGTTGTTAAAAGTCTTCTTATTCTATTTTTTTATTCAACTTCATCTGAGAAACCTTTCTATTCTATTTTTTTTTTAAAAAAATACATTATAATCTATATATATTAATATAATATTTAACCTTATAATGCTTTTTCTAAATAATCACTTGATGTTATAGGCTCTCCTTCTTAATCTACTAATTATAATGAAAAATCTCTTATTACCCAAAAGAAATTAGGGAAATATTTCGAATATTCTATATATATATATATATAAAAATATTTTTAGAAAATAAAATAAATATATATAAAATATAAATATAAAATTATTATTTTTATATATTTTTTTATTTTTTTAAAAAAAACATATTATATATATTTTCAAAAATCAAATATTTTGATAGTAATTTATATATATATATATATAAATAATTATAAATATGATTTTATTTTATTTTTTTCCTTTATTTTTATAAAATATAATTAAAAATATATATACCTTCTTAATCAATTTCATCACAATCAGTTGATTTTATATGAATGTTTTTTGTTAAATTAACAACTAATGATAAATTGCTTAATGCATTTTCCTATTTTTTTTAATTTTAAATAAATATGCTAAAAAAAAATTAAAAAAAAATACATCAATAGATCCCATTGAATTATAAATAAAACTTGAAGCAAGTAAAATAGTTAATGAAAAAATTCTAGTATCATGTGTTTAATCTTCATCTGTAGATCCAATACCTTCCGAATCCATAATTAAAATATTTATTGGTTCTCCATCTACAGTTTGACCTTTAACCGGAGTTCCCCAAACCCAAATACCCTATTAATTTAAAATACATATATATGTACTTTTTATAATCAAATTAAAGTTTTTTTATTTTTTTACCTTAGTGCAAGGATTAACTGTTGGACCAACCCCAAAACCGCCACTTCTATTAAGTAACATTCTATTTAAAAGATAAGATTTACCAGTTCTGTAAGCACCAGCAACTGATATTACTCCAATGGGCTTTGGGACTTGTTTTATTAATTATACAGCCTCTTAATTTAAACTATATTCTTTATTTTATTTTATTTTAATAAATGAATATTAATTTGGATTTATATTTTTTCTTTTATGATTTAATTTTTGTATTTTATTTTGTTTTATTTTATTTGAGTTTACATCTCGTTTCTTAATTGTATGTTACAAAAGCTATAGCTTCTTCTTTGAAAACTGAATTCATTATAAAAATGTAAAACTTTTTTTTTTTTTTTTTTTTTTTTTTTGTATTTAATTTAATTTATTTTAACCCAAAAGGAATTTTTTTTTTTTTTTTTTTTTTTTTTTTTTTAAATATGTTTTTGTTGTTTGCTTTTTTTTTTTTTTTTTTTTCTATTATTATAATATAATTAACAAATAAAATAAATATTTAAGTAAATATTCATATTATTATAAATCTATATATAATTTTTCTTTTTAACTATTTCGTTATAATACAAATTATTTTTATAATATTATATTATTCTAATAATGATTATATATATACTTTAAAAATATCAAATATAAAAAAGTTGAATATTTCTCTATTTATAAAATTATAATATATAAAACTTAATACATATTTATTATAAATAAATTATTATTAATTTAGTTATTTTTAATAATTATATAAAATAAAAGTGAAATTATGTTATTTTATTCAATTTAATCTGTAACAACTTTAAATATTTAAATTAAAAAAATGATTTTTCTTTTTTAAAAAATTATATAAATAAACTTAAATGGTCTAAGTTTAATCTTAAAATAAAAATATTTGAAATAATATATAGATGAACATATTTTAATACAGTTAAAATAATAAATTATAAATATTTAAATATAGAAATCTATTAATAGTTTATGAATTTTTTTTTTTTAGATTTTTTTTGTTTTTTAATAATTAATAATTATTATAAAGACTAAAAGTGAAATATATTTAAATAGTTTTAATTAATTTCATAATATTTATAAAAAAAAAAAAAATTATTATAATTATTTATATAATGAATAAATATTTTTTAATTTCTTTTTTTTTAAATAAATTTTAAGAAATAACATTAAATACATAATTAATAACATTTTTTTTATTTTTTCTTAAACTAAAAAGAAAGAAATATAAAAAAAAAGAAAAAGAAAAAAAATATCAAACATTTAAAAGTATATTAAGTCATAATAAATAAAAAAATATATATCGGCATATACGTATATATAATAATATAATATTTCTTTTATATTCTTAAATCATCCCGATTTAAATAATAATATAGCTACTTAACCCATATAAAAATATATAAAATGCTTCGTTTCATGAGTCACGTATGATCCGAAATTTCTTCCAACGATACAATGCCATGTTGGGTTGTATTTCTTGTCGAATTCTTTTTTAATAAATGCAGCAATATCTTTTTCGATATTGAATTTTTCTAAAGCTTAGTTAGCACAATCAATCGCGTCTTAAGACATTTCTTCAGACATGTCAGCATTTTTAATTACAGCTTTTCTATCTGCTTGAGCCATTTTTTTTTATATATATTTTTTTGGTTTTTTTTTTTTTTTTTTTTAAATTAAAATAAATTTTATTTTTTATATTTTTAATTGAATTTTAAATATATATATATAAGTTACGATTTTTTTTATTTATTTTTTTTTAAAAAAAAAGTCGCAAAGTTGTTTGACTTTTTTTTCTTTTTATTATTGAACGAACAAGTACTCTATTTAAAAAATATAGAATTTTTTTATATACATAAAAAACAAAAAATGTATATAAAAAATCTATTTAATTTAATTATATTATATACAAAATTTTTTTTTTTTTAAAATTTAGATTTAAAGAAAAAAGATTAAATTTTTATTAAAAAAAATATTTTAATAAAAAAAAAAAAAAAAATATTTATGCATTCACATTAATTAAAATTTTAAAAAGATAAATTTAAATACTTATATAAAACAATATAAAATGGAATAAATTCCAGAAACAAAAAGAGCCTCGACAATAATTTGTTAGAAAAGCGAAGTAACAGCAAATATTAAATTTGGATAAGGTAAAATATATAAAAGTAAATAAAGCAAAATAAAAAATAATTAAAAAAAGGTTGCATTATTCATCCGAATAGTGCTATAATAGCAGAAGGAGGTGATATAGTAATTGGAGATTATAATATAATAGAAGTTGTTTTCATTTTTTTATTTAAAAAAATATAAAACTTAAAAAAAATCAAAAATTAGGAGAGAGTAAATATAGTTAATAGAAAAAACAAAGAAAGTCCATCCAAAAATAAAACTATGATAATAGGATCATATAATATGTTTGAAGTAGGATCAAAAATAGACACATGTGATATTGGAGATTTTAATACATTTGAGGCCAGATGTAATATAAATAAGTAAAAATAAAAATAATAAAAATATAAAAAGGCATAGTAGAATAAGGATGCATAATTAAAAATAAATGTTCAATAGGTTCAACAATTAAAATACCTTAAAGTAAAAAATAATAAAAAAAAAAAAACATAAATTTTTAATATAAAAATGTATAAATATATATATATATATATATATATATTTATAATATTTTAATTTAAAAATTATATATATTATTATTTTGATATATCTTATATCTTTTATTAATTAAAAAAATATTAAAGATACTGTTCTTGATGAAAAAAAAATACATTTTCCAGATAAAGTTATTAAAGAAATGAATTTTGATGAATAAAAATATAAAAAAAATATTATTTAAATGCATTAAGCACTATCGATTTTAATACCATAAAATAATCCTTGTAAAACTATTTGAAAAAATAAAATATTTTCTTTTTTTATAATCTAAAAACAATTTATAATTAATTTAATTATATTTTTTATATTTACAAATAAATATTATTTACAATTTTCTTGTATATATAAAACATTTTTATTAATTATTTATAGACACTTTAATAATTTAATATTAATATATTAAAAATATTTGACAATATTATTTTAAAAATTTTTTAATAAAAGAAAAATTTATGTATCATAAATAATTATAATATTATTTAAATATTAATAAATGAATATAATTTATTTGTTATGAATATTTATTAAGAAAAAATATTTTTTTTTATAAAAAATATTATTTAAAAAAAAAAATATATTTTAATAATAAAGTATTTATATAAATATTAAAAAATTTCAAAAGAAAATTATTTAATAAATATAAAGAAAAAAAATATTTTATTTATAAATTTATATAATTTTATATTTATATATTTATATATTTATATATATATTTAAATATTTTTTTTTTTTTAATTTATTTTATTATTATAGTTAACATTTTTAATTTAATTTTTTTTCTTTTTCATTATATATAAATAATATATAATTTATATATTTTTCTAATATTTTTTTTTTTTTTTATATCCATTTTTTTTTTCTAAATTACTTTTTTTATAAACTTACATGATTGTTTATAAATTATTAATTCGAATAAATACATATCTAATTTTTTTTCTTATTTATAAATTTTTTTTTCTTATATATTTATTATTTTTATATTATAAATCTTTTATGTTTAAATTATAAATATTTAATAATATAATATCTTAATTCTTTTTATTTAGTTTTTTTTCTTTTTTTATTTTTTAAATCATCAATTAATTATTTTCTTTTTTTCTTTTATTTGATTAATTTTATATTATAATGTTTTAAAAATTTATTTTTATTTTTGCTTTTCTTTTAAAATTTTTAGTAGTTAATCTTTAATTTATTTACTTTACAAATTGATTCAAATATTTGTTTCATTCTTTTACTATCTTAATTTTCATGAAATTTATTAATTTTATTAATTATCTTTATTACATTAGTTTTTTTATCATAATTATTATTGACCTAAAATTTATTAATATTAGAAAAATACGATTTCGGAAAGAATTTTTTTTCGTTTTTCATATATACTATTAGTTAGAATAAGTCTTTAAAATATTAGTGAGAGTATGATATTAGTTTTGGCTTAAATAAACAATTCTTTTATAATTTATATTAATTATATTAATTAATTATTTTTATTTTAATCTTATTTTTTATTATAGTCTATATTTTAGTTTAAAATGTATTCATTTTTGCATATTGTTTTATTCTTTTTGCTTATCAAATTTGATACATTTAAATAACTACTGTATATATTGTCTATAATATATTTTTTTTTTACAAATTTTGTTTGATATGGCTTGTTAACTTTAATTTTTTTCTTTAAATTCAATTAAGGCATTTAAAAGTAGCTTTTTATATTAATTATATTATTAGTACTTTTTTTTTAATCACTATTATAAAATCAAGTTTATAACTATTTTTTTATATTTAAATAATAACTTTTATAACTACATTAAGCATTTTTTATAATATTATAATTTATAAACTAATAATTGCATTAATTAATTTGCTTATTATAATTAAGAATTTTTTATAAAATAAAAACAAAGAAGAATTTAAATATATATTAAACACTAAAAAAAGAATCATAAACGAAAAATTATTTTATTTCTTGCTTGTATTGATTTTTTTATTGAATTTTTTAATAAATTCAATTATAATTTGCTTTTATATATTAATTTTAAAAGAATAAAAACATAAAAAATAAAATATCAAAAAAGTAATAATATGTAAAACATTTATAAAAATTAATTTATTAATAAATATTTTAAAATTCAAAAAAAAAAAAAAAAAAAAAAAAAAAAAAATTAACAAAAATATAAAAAAAAATTATAATTTTATCAATAAATAATAAGAATAAAATATTATTTTTCAAATTAAATCTAAATACTTACCAGTCTTATCTTATAAAATAAAGTTTTAAACTTTATTAACAAATCTAATTTTTTCTTTTAAAATAATTTCAACATTTAAAGTTTATTCAATAATATTGAAAAAAATCATTATTTTTTCTTTTAAATTACCACGCAATAAAGCCAAAAAAACTTAGAACAATTTTTAGGACTTTTTGCTATTTTTTCCAATCGGGAGGTGAAATTGAGCTTTTCTTAAAAATTAAAACGCCAGGAGATTTTAATTTATTTATTTTAGGATTATAAGAAAATCCTTAAGAAAATATTTCAAATCCATTTTTATATTCTCCAAATAAAGAAATTAACTAATTTAAAATATTTAAAATTTTTCTCTTCTTTCGCATATAAAATTTATGACTTTCTGCTATTCCTAAACTTTCTAAGCATATTTATTTTTAGTAGTTTTTAAAATAGTGTATTCCGTCTTATATACTCTTTAAAGAATTTAAAATATTATTTAATTTTTCTGTATAGTTAGTAGATGTTTATAGATAATTAATATTTTCTTAATTTAAATCTTCCATTTTTAAATTTTTTTTTTTTATTATTTTCACTTTATCTTAAAAATTTATTTTATTTTTTGGTTTTTTTATTTAAGGCACATTTATAAATTTCTGATTTTTAGAAAGTTTTTTATAAAAAAAAACTAAATTTTAGAAAGATTTTATTAAAATATATATATATATATATATATATATAATTTATAATTATTTATATATATATATATATATATTTTCATTAAAAAAAAAAACATTTATATTTTTTTTTTTCTTTAATATGATATTTTTAATAACAAAAAAAGTTAATTTCCATCCTAAATTAATAATTTCGACATAATAAATTAGCAAAAAGTTTAATTATTATTTTTTCCAGAATCATTATTATATAAATTAATATGTATTTATCTGGTAATTTCTCATAACTTATTATGTATATTAATATTATTTTTTTATATATTGAATTAATCATTTTTGGAAGTTTTTTATTTTTATAAATATTCTTTATAGCAAATATTAAAATTATTATTTTAAAAGGGGTTCATATCATATTTTGTATATTATTTATTTTATTTTTTTCTTTAGTATTAATCCTATTTTTATTATATTATAATTTATAAATTTTATTAATTATTTTAAAAGTTACTATTATTATTAATATAATTATAAGCTTTTTATTTATAATTAAACTTTTGACTAAAAATATTTTCTTTAATAAATTTTATATTATTATATTTAATTTTCATTTACATTTTTGTCATCTTCTTTTACTTTTTTCTTCAATTATTTTTAATTTAGTAAACTTTATTAACGTGTATTTATATTGCTTATTTTTCTTGAATTTTTTATAATTTTTGAATATGTTTTTCATTATTTTTCCCGTACTTGATAATGTTTCTCCTTAAAAAAGTATATTATAAGAAGTTTTCTTCATATTTTAAATTATATCCTTCTTAAATAGAACCTCTATTTTATATAGAATATATATATATTTTTAAAATTAATTATAATAATATTATTGTTTAAATATAAGATTATAATTTTATTAAATTTTAAGTGTTTGTATATATTTATTGTAATGAATATATAAAATATATATTTATTAAAAAAACATACATAACTAAAAGCTATTATCTATTTTTTAAAATATATATAATAAATTTATATTTTATTATTTGTAATAATCTTAAAATTTTCTATTTAAAATAATATATTAAAAAATATGTAAATTTGATATACAATTTAATAATAATAAGCATATATAATATATACTATATTAATAGAAATATTTAGATATAAATATACAAATTATAATAATAAAATTTATAATTTATAAACTATTTAATAAAAATGAAATACATATATATTAATCTTATCTATTTTATGTAATATTAAATTTTGAAAAAATAAAATAAAAATAATTCGATATATTTAATTTAATACACAAAATTTATAATAAATATTTCATATATATAAATTAATTAAACAATCTAAAATAAAATAAAATAAAAAAATGGGTAAAAATTCAAAAGTATTATTAGACAATGGAAAATAAGCAAATGGGACAATGAAGCTATATTGGGATAAACATAAAAAAATATAAAAAGAGAAAAAAGAGGAAAAACTCAAACTATTAAAACAAGAAGGTAATATTCGCTAAAAACAGGAAATAGACAAAAATGAGTTGACTCAAGAGAAAATTATAAAAGTCCAAAAGCTTTTATCCCAAAAATAAATTAAAGTACCCGGATATTCATCCGAATTTTTAGTATAATAATAAATTGAAAGAAATAAAAAAGAAGAAGAAAAATTAAAGTTTCTTTAAGAATAATAATAATATAAAAAACTTTAATAATAAAAAAAAATTCTCAGTAATCTCAAATACCTCCACCACCTCCTAAACTTCCACCACCTCCTTAACTGCCACCACCTTCGTTTTAACAACCTTTATTTTAATCACATACTTCAATATAACCAAATCAATCTCATTTATCATAACAAAATCATACTTCTTAAGAATAACATAATACTCATTATTTAGTATAGCAGCCTATTCCATTAGTATAATAAGGACAATAAAATTAAAATATATAATAATAAAAACATTAACAAAAATAAAATTATTAATAAAGAAAAAATCAAGCCCAAAATAAAATGATTAATGATCCTTTTTATAAAGTAACATAAGAAGAAGATTACAATGCTATCGACGATATAATAAATTAGCAAAAACAAGATATGTAAAAATTTAAAAATTAAGAATAAAATTAGAAAATGGAAAAAAAAATTAATTTATAATAATAATAATAATAATTAATAATAATAATAATAATAATAATAATAATAATAATAGTAAATTTAAAACTTTGAAGTTCTTTAAAGAGAAAGTACTGTAAAAAAAAGCAAAATCGATTTAACTTATAAAAAATAATTGTTTATCCCTAGAAGTATGGTTGTTGGTAATAATAATATTA